GAGATCATCATGCATCATCTAGAACGATCACATGCAAGAGACAAGTTGGTTATAAATATGCCCTGTTTTCTCTACAAAAATAATGAAATATATCAATCACACAACATACAAGAAAGATTCAATACAATCAACCAAGCTTCAGTCCTACCTTACTCTTCTCTCATCTTATCTTTATGATTCTAAGCCGAATTGATTTTATCCTTCCTATTCAATTAAAGGAAGAAGATCAATTAATCTTACTTCCTCTCTACCTAACCTGCGCAGCATCGCTTGCTCACAAGAGAGAAGTTAAATTAAATTAAATTAGTATATGGGTCATGTGACTTTCCTAGTAGGAGAAGATAGAAGAGAAGGTAGAAGGAAAGGATGCGTGTATGTAAGAAGGAAGGGGGTGGTTGAATTCGTAATTAACAGGTGTGAAAGGCTTAGCAGTAATCAGGCCGAAATCAGGCCCCAGGTGGTGCCGCCAGCGTTTTCGGGTGGTACCAACAGCGCCACCCATATTGATAGGTCTTATAGATCTAGAACCGATACTAGGTGTTATATATAAAGAATTCCCTAATATAGTCTATAGTGAGAGCGCTAGTGCAGAAAGCAGTAGTAAATATATATAGAAGAACAGGAAGCGTAGAGTTAAAGATCTTGATATAGGGACAATAGAGAAGATAGGGGTAGGCTTACCGTTATAATAGGTCACTAGAGAGACGCGAGAACCCCCTCTAGCTAAGGTCGCGTCGCGACGCGCAGAGACGGGATATATTTCGCTCCGGATACTAATGTTAAGCGAATCTGATAGACTATTTAAATCGGGTTTAGCCTGAATTATTATAGATAGATCAATTTAGGATATATCTAGTAGGTAGGAAAACTTGCATTAACCCTGAATATATATATTATCCCGGGAGATACCTATACATACTACAGGAACCGCTATGTGAATTATGCCTGGGACAATAACTTGACCGTGCTATATATATTCTGATTACGGGATAGTTATTACAGACATACACCTCACATCACGGTTATGTCGGATTATTTACTGCTTAACGTATGTTCCGATCTCACTAGGGAGGGTTAGTTTGAGGGTTTAACGCAGTACTGCTCTAGGGCAGGAGGGGTGAAACTCCCTTCTGGTATGATCATTCAATAGGCTTGATTGATTGTTCTGGAACTGGATCTTCCGGTATACATCTCGGGACGAATGGGGTATATTCCTCTACTAGAGCTAGCATAGCCGCTAGGGTCGGTCGTCGAGGATTTATGATGTGGTGTGGGGGCTTCTGGATACGCACTCCGGGAGGCGGGAGCACGCGAAATGGACTAATCAGGGGGCGAAATCAGGGGGCGAAGAAATCGACCTAGGGCCGATTCTAATTACCACTAGGGTGTAGGCTTGGCAGTATCTATTAGCGTTGGCCCCGATGGAATTAAGATACTTGGACTGGTGTTACGCTGAGTGGAGACCAACCAGTCCACATATATCCCTTCGGTTTATAACATCCGGATTCATCAACAAAAAAAAGATGATATGAACAAAACTTGGATAGTTTGTGCTGGTATAAATCTCGTGATTGAGGGCTCTGTTCTCTTAACACAAGAACAGGAGGATCTGTGTACGAGGTAGACACTTGAAGAACATCTCCCTCAGTATCATCCATGCCTGAAATGTCAGTTGAGCAAACTAAAACAGCACTGACAATCCTAGGTTGTCAGAGGGGGAATTTCAGGTGTTTAAAGTACTCCTTATTAGTGTGGTCCAAGTATGCTAGATCAACGCCAATATGGCTTCCAGCGCGCTCTAAAAGTCTATAAAATAGCAATAAATACAGAAATAAACAGCGGAAAACAAAGCAGGACTGTTTCTGTAGAAAACGTCTGGGCCAATTTTATTTCAAATCGAAACGGTCCAGGTTCATCACCTTGTCCCATGCCGCCACAAAATCCTTCGCAATCTTCTGCTTCCCATCTGTACTACCGTATACCTCGGCGATGGCACGTAATTCAGAATTAGAGCCAAAAACCAGGTCAACACGGGTTGCAGTCCATTTCTTCACACCGGTCTTGCGGTCCGTACCCTGAAATAATTCCTTGTCAGAGCCGTCAATTGCCTTCCACACCGTGTTGATGTCTAGCAGATTCACGAAGAAGTCGTTCGTCAGCTGGCCCGGGCGGCGAGTAAGCACACCATGAGCAGATCCATTGTAGTTGGCATTCAGGGCCCGCAGACCACCCACAAGCACTGCCATTTCAGGAACGGACAGTGTGAGCAGCTGCGCCTTGTCAACGAGGGCGTGTTCGCTGCGCATATGCAAGATCGATCGGCCGTAGTTGCGGAAACCATCCACCAGCGGTTCTAGATGACCGATGGATTCGACGTCGGTTTGTTCCTGCGAGGCATCCATGCGGCCAGGCTTGAAGGGAACAATGATCGCATGACCAGCATCTTTGGCAGCTTGCTCGACAGCAGTGCAACCAGCTAGTACAATTAGGTCAGCTAAAGACACCTTCTTTCCACCCTGCTGGGAAGCGTGGAAACGGCTTTGGACACCTTCCAATGCGGAAAGCACCTCATCCAACCGAACTGGGTTGTTTGCTTCCCAGTGGCGCTGCGGAGCAAGGCAGATGCGCCCACCATTGGCACCGCCACGCTTATCGCCCCCACGGAAGGTGGACGCTGCAGCCCAGGCGGTTGAAATGAATTTGCACCGGTCTACATCCGTTGATAGAATAGCCTCTTTGAGTGCAGCGATGTCGATGTTGTCGATCAACATGTGGTTGACTGGAGGGATGGGATCCTGCCAGAGCATCACTTCAGACGGCGCTTCCGGCCCGAGATAGCAGGAGGCGGGGCCCATGTCGCGGTGTGTCAATTTGAACCAGGCGCGGCGGAAGACGTCATCAAACGTACCCGGGTTTTCCAAGAAGCGACGCGAGATCTTCTCATAGATTGGATCAGACTTCAACATAATATCAGTCGTCAACATCCTAGGTGGGTGCTTCTTAGTCGGGTCGAAGGCATCTGGAATGATATCCGGTGCATCCTTCGCCACCCATTGCCATGCGCCGGCGGGGCTCTTGACAAGCTCCCATTCATAGGCGAAAATGTACTTGAGAAAGCCGTAATTCCACTTGGTTGGAGTTTGCGTCCAGATAACTTCTAGACCACTGCCGATAGTGTCAGGACCCTTTCCAGAACGGAAGTTGCTCTTCCACCCTAAGCCCTGCTCCTCAAGTTCGGCACCTTCTGGTTCAGGACCGACATGAGTGCTAGGCGCGGCGCCGTGCGTCTTGCCGGGAGTGTGGCCACCGGCTATCAGTGCCACTGTTTCCTCATCATTCATTCCCATACGTTCAAAGGTAATACGGGTATCACGGGCCGCCGCAATGGGATCAGGACAGCCGTCGGGGCCCTCAGGGTTCACGTAAATCAAACCCATATGGGAGGCTGCCAGCGACGTTTCTAGCTCACGCGAACGGATGTCCTTGTTTGCCTCCCCGGCAGCGTTCGAGCCGGTTGCATAGCGAAACTCGTTGCCCATCCACGTCTTCTCGCTACCCCAGTACACTGACTCGTCGGGCTCCCAGACGTCCTCGCGGCCCCCGGCGAAGCCGAAGGTCTTGAACCCCATGGATTCGAGGCCCACGTTGCCGGCAAGAATGATCAAATCCGCCCAGGAAATCTTGTTGCCGTATTTCTGCTTGATTGGCCACAATAAGCGACGTGCCTTGTCAAGAAGCACGTTATCTGGCCAGCTATTAATGGGTGGAAACCGTTGCTGAGCCTGAGCACCACCACCGCGGCCGTCATGGACACGGTAGGTGCCAGCACTATGCCAGGCCATACGGACGAATAACCCGCAATAGCTGCCGAAGTCTGCTGGCCACCAATCCTGCGAGGTGGTTGTCAATTCAAGCAGATCTTTCTTGAGTTCATAGTAATCCAGACTCTTGAAAGCCGCCGCATAATCGAAGTCTTTGTCTAGCGGATTTGACGTAACCGTGTGCTGGCGAAGGAGGCTCAGTTTCAGCCGGTTGGGCCACCAGTCGAGATTGCTGCCTGGTACTATGCGAGAAAGAACTGGACATTGAGCCATGTTTTCGGGGCTTCTTGTTGACGCTTTGGAAAATCTAACTTCTCTGCGCAGATGATGATTCTGTAACGAACAATGAGATGTGCTTGAAGTCTTTAAGGGAAGAAAATAATTTCTCGAGGGGGGTAACGGCGCACACTTTATAATAAAATCTTTCCTCAACAGAAAGCTTCCCCCCGAGTAGAATTTTCTCTTTTCCCGAAACCATTTCCCGAAACCACTTCTGAAAAGCTACGACTAGCAGAACGGTCGCAAGGCCGGTTAACAGCACATGCCTGATAATCAAGTCTTCCCCACAGAACAGATGTTTCCACCAGAGCAGCGTTTCGTCGTGGCCCGAAACCATTTGCCGAAACCACTAGAGCTATGACCAACAGAACGGTTCTAGGCCTGTGTGAATTATAATTTAAAACTACTCCGGCTTTCAATCTAGACTGATCCATGGGGTGCACCTGTAGGGGAAGTCAACGATTGGTGTGGCGGCTTGATTCCATGGTTATTACCTAAAGACACGCGACGTACCATGACTTGACTAAACTCAAAATGTTGATAGTTAAAAGTTATTAAACTTCTGCCGGAATGAGCCTAACTTAATATTTTAAGTGGGGCTAGAACTCTTACATAAGGGGGCTAGGCTTAACTTGCTTGATAAGAATTTAACTCTCTACTCTTCGTATATCAGGATCCAATCCAGATAGATGAAGGCAACATTCTTAGATAAGGATAGACCTGGACCAAACCATAGACTGGGTTTGTCTAGACCTAGATAAGGAACCGCCACTAGTATTAATTAACACAGAAAAATGTCAGCGAAATTATTATAGTACGCCCTGATTTAAATCATATTTCCCTAACCCGCCGCAAAGCAAGATTTCCCCTCAACCTCTGAATCTTCGAGAATCGAAAACAATGGCCCTTACTTGCGAGCAACAGATCAAGGAATACGACTGGATTGCACTTTCCTGCGACCCAAAAGTCTGGGGTGGCACTAAGCCATTCAATAAGGAGCCTGTTGCTCAGCTCTGCAAAGATGTCCCTACACCTAACACCCCTCTCGTAAATGCTGCTATGGAGTATGTTAGGAAGGAACTTCCTGAATACACCTTTAACCACAGCATGCGTGTTTTCTACTATGGCAAGGAAAATAAATCCGAAGTCAACATTCTAGGTGGGATGTTACGAAAAAAAGCGCTGGCACGCTCCATCTCTAGGCATGGCCATCACATCTCAGCAATTTCCTAAATGGGAATTCAGCCCCGAGACATGGCTTCTGACTTGCCTCTTCCACGACATTGGAACCATCGACAAACACACTCACGGCACCCTTATGTCCTTCGAGTTTTACGGCGGTATCCTTGCTCTGCAGAAGTTAAAGGAGCTCAACGGACCTATTTCCCAGGCCGAGAGTGTCAGCGAGGCCATCATCCGACACCAGGATCCTGCTGAGGTCGGCACCATTACCACCATCGGCTTACTTATTCAGCTAGCTACTCAATATGGTCGGTTTGATCTTTCTCCCTCCTTGCTTTGCCGTGTTGTTTATGTTTGTCTCTACCCTAGAGAACTGGGAATGTTAATATCGTATCATATATAGACAACATGGGCTACCGCCCCGGGTACGTCCACCCCGATACAATCAAAGACGTCGTCCCTCACTACCCTCGTCGCAACTGGTCCAAGTGCTTCACGAAGAAGATCAGAGAAGAAGTTACGGTAAAGCCGTGGTGCCATACCACTACCTCGGAGGAGAAGTTTCCCCATGATGTCGAGCACAACGTCCTTATGGAGCCTTATGATGCCTTGCATTAAATTCCACTGTTTATGATATATTGGGGTGTGTATTTGAGGGATTCTGCACTGCTTTTTAGATTTATAAATCGAAAGTCTCACGCGGTTCTTTCAGTTAATTTCTGTCGTAACGTGGACATTACAATTTGTATGTAGAAAATCATTCCTTTGTGATGATGTGGGTGCCTGAGGTGTCACGCCCACCGCCCGTTGTAGATAGACCTTCCCTTCTGGGAAGGTGATTTAGAAATACACTCAACCCCCCTTTCGTTTCTTCCTCTCTAGTGATCTGGCACCTCCCTTGGTCCTGTGGCACTCTTGCACCTCCCATGTGCTCCTCGTGCCGATCAATTCTCCATCATGGCTTTTCTCGAACCGTTGAATTCGACCTCTTATTTCCGCTATCTCGGGGTTTTCCAGGATACTTTCCTCAATTTCCGCTGACAATTCGCTTGGCAATCCGGGTTCGTGGAATTGGAAGTAACCTTGAAAGTACTCGATATGATCGGATTAGTCCTCCTCATCGAGTACAGCTGACACTGTGTCTATTGAGGACCAATGGGCTTGGTAGTGTTCCGGAAATGTGCCTGGGCCTCGATGTGCCATTATCTGAGAGACAGATGCGGAACCATGTCTTCCTGTGTTAGGCTGCAATCACTTGACCCCTTTTCGGTGTTTCTTATGCTGCAAAGGCTCACCTTCGATTTTCTTCCCTAGATTTCGTCGTATACAATGGACGGTTGCTAATTCGCCAAAGTATCCGGCAGCAGTAAAAATTTGACGCAGGCAGAAACTGAATTTCTGCTTCGTGAGAGGCGTTTCTTGAGGTCCGTCCGCTATAACATTCCTCAAAACTGGCTTTTCCAAGAACTTATTCTTCCATCGCAAAGGAACTTCGCCAGCGGAAAGATCGAATTGAGCTAGATCATCCGTAGTGTCAATCCCAAAAAGAGCTCCTTGAGACAGGGCGAGGGCCAGGAGAAGATAGCGAGATGCAAATTGCGGCCTATTGCTGTCCCAGATGCCAATCCCCAATCTAAACGCACTAATTAGTCAAATTGACGTAAAACATCCAATTACCATATCGTAGACTGCAATTAGCAGATTTCCTGACTAAAAATGTTAGAAGAGAAATATTTGAAGACCTAAAGAATCTAGCTAACCTCCGCGAGATTTAGGAAGATATATATCTAGCTATTTTATAGCAGTATATATATATATCGATCCTATCTACTCTATACTAATCTCTATACTCTACTACTATTTGCACTACAGTATAAAGATTACGGGGGGTATAAGATATAGGCAAGAAACCGTTATGTAGTATATCAAGCCAGATTCATAAGGCCTATACAAGATAGCTGAATCTCTATAAGCTTTATGCTATACCATCATTACTACGGTTTATAACATCAAGTAAGACGTATACAATAGTATACGATCTACATTATTACTACGGTCAATGATATCGTATAAGACGTATACAATAGTATACGATCTATATCATCATTACGGTCAATAACATCGTACAATCAAGCAACCACCGAAAACAGCTACTGCATAAGATCACTATATATCTAGATCTGTCTGCATGAGATCATCATGCATCATCTAGAACGATCACATGCAAGAGACAAGTTGGTTATAAATATGCCCTGTTTTCTCTACAAAAATCATGTCAATCATAAGACATACAAGCAAGATTTAATACAATCAACCAAGCTTCAGTCCTACCTCACTCTTCTCTTATTTTATCTTTATGATTCTAAGCCGAATTGATTTTATCCTTCCTATTCAATCAAGAGGAAGAAAGATCAATCGATCTTATTTAATCATCTTTAATTTATCTTCCTCTTTACCAACCTGCGCAGCATCGCTTGCTCACATGGCTACTATAGCCGTCAAGAATTAGTAGCCGAAATCGACCGCGTACACGCGAATTCGTATATGGGATAAAGTGCTTTTCTAGCTAGCGTAGGCCAATCTCATCGGTAGTCCAGCTATTCGCAGAGACCTCGATTCGCCAATCTCTCGGTAGATTATCGTCAAACCACCCTGCAATAGCCACTTTGCCCTTGAAGATTACGCACGGCGGTAGTATATAGCCGTCTACGTATATAGCTTCGATAGCAGTAACCCATTCGCGATTTCCTGGTTGTAGAAGAGATCTCCGACCGTAGTATTCAGCCCTGGTCACTACCTTCTACGAAGATATAAGGCCTATTGCAAAGCCTGTCTTATCAAAGTTGTAGATATCCTCCGATTGTATACCGTTCTCGTCAATCACGCATTGTACGGTAGTAAACCAGGCTCATAGGGTCTTCGGGTCTTCGTTTAATGCGCGCTGGTAGTCGTATCGCCTCGAGAAGCGCGACCGAAGCTCATCACGCCGTGAAACGAAGGTTGATGGCCAGTTCTTGCTAACGGTAGGCGGAGGGCTACTACCGCGCGCAGCCAGTAGGATATTAGCCATCTCTCGTATAGTAGCGGGCCGGGGGGCTGCTCCACGCGAATCCGTAGAGAGAATCCATGTAGTAAGCGAATCCTCTTCTAATTGAGTAAGTTTATGGCCTGTTGGGCGTATATCGACGCGAGGGGATTGGCCGTGTAGGCGCGTTTGTAGTGTTGACCGCGGTATTGCGTATAGGCTAGCCGCTGCGCGGATAGATTTGATACGGCCATTTTTAATATCATCAAGGGCTAACAAGATCTTGCCCTCTTGATTGGCTGATTTCTGCGAGGATCCAGCGCGAATTGGTGGCATGGTAGTTGGTTGAATCTAGTATGTGTGCAGGATTACGCGATTTTGGATGGGGTGGCCAGGACGGCCGGGTGGCCAGATCGGCCGGGAATTACGTTAGTTAACTAGTTAGTTAGTTAACTAGTTAACAACTAACTAACTAGTTAACTAGTTACTGACACCACAAATGATGTAATAACCGCATCACATAATCAATTTTGCCAAGCATCATTACCATACATTACCGCAGCAACTGCACCACTTGTGGTAATGTATGGTAATGATGCTTGGCAAAATTGATTATGTGATGCGGGTATTACATAATTTGTGGTGCCGCTAGTAAAACGTGTGGTGTCTGTATCAATTCCCGCTCGACTCGAGTTTCCTAATTCGAATCCCCCTTCATAGCCCATAGAAGGGGAGATCCCCACGGTATTGCGGCTTCCCAACTTCACCTGCCATTTGCTTGAATCATCCAGCCATTTTCTATCATGCCGACAATAAATCCGGGGTGCTGGACCTGTCGTGTGAGACATCGCAAGTGTGACTTGGAAATACCCCTTTGCCGTGAGTGCACCGATCGCGTTGTCCATTGCCATGGCTATGGGGCGAAGCCTGCGTGGATGGATGGTGGGCCCGAGGAGCAGAAGGAGCGAGCTCGCATTAAAGCCGCAGTTAACAAAAATTTCCGTCATGTCAAGAAGATGCAGAGTCGCGCTCGCCGGAGTCAGAGTGCCAGGGAGCGATCGGCATCTGAGACGCCAACAAACGGGGCGGTCGAGGCCGTTGAAGAAACGCAGACTAATGATGTTATCACACCTCCGGATTTATCTCCACCACGACCAACCGAACTCGTGACTCTATCGCACTGTGACACAGAAGTTTTGATCTGCCCTCCTGAAAAGAGCCCAAGTCCTGCCAATAATGATGCTACTGGAGATTGCAGAGACCCTTATCAAAACAATTCAAATGCCAACGAACTAGATAATCAAGAGGCATGCTTGTTAATGCATTATCTTGACCAGGTCTTTCAATGGCAATTTCCATACCATGATTCTCGTTCTCGACTAGGAAATCGTGGATGGCTTTTCTTGCTACTGAGCAAACGAGGGCCATTGTATCATGCAGTTCTGAGCCTTTCTTCACTTCATCAAAGTGCACTATTGGGTACAGAAGAGGAGTTTCAAAGGAAACAGAAGGCTCTGGATCATCATTCCAGGGCGTTATGTGAACTCTGCGACCTGATGAGAGAGAATGGGGACAAGCTACGTGACGATCATGCGCAATTAGTCGAGTTTCTCGCATGCAGCTTCATATTGATCAGCTTTCAGGTACCTGCATACTTTGAGTTGATTTCTGGTGTCACAGAGCTAAAGTAATCGGCAGGTCTTTAGCGGGGCCGAGCATGACTGGCTACTTCATCTAGATGCCGTTACCTCTGTCATGAGTTTACTCTCACCCGAGGCTGTCTTCAACCCAGAATCCTATGCCTATGGTGCACACGCAAACTCGATGGCTTCCTATTCATACGGACAAGGAGGGTGTCATCAAGGCCTGGAGTTTCTTATGGTTACAGTGGTTTGGTTCGATATTTTCGCCTCTTTGTCAACAGGCAGGCCACCACGACTTCCCTACCAGGGCTGGCTTCGCACCCCAGGGTTGAATACAGCTGATTTGATGGGATGCCAGAATTGGGTTTTGGTTGCCATTGGGGATCTCGCTCATTTTGATACATGGAAAGAGCGGCGGGAAAGCGAGGGTTTATTAAGTATAAGAGAGCTTGCTGGAAAGGCCCAAGAAATAGAGATGCGTCTCGAAAACGGGATTCAAAGTCTTGACCTATCAAGGGTATGTGGATCTCCAGTTTCCTTTGCAAGTTTTTGTGACTGAGAACGGCTCTACTCTAGGGGTATAGCGAGACTGAATCCCTAACAAACTGGGTGACACGCATTTTCGCCCTAGCTTGCTTGGTTCTCTTGCATACGATTGTATCAGGCCCACTGCCAGCGCTCCCTGAGATACAGAACGCCGTTAGCAGGAGTATCACTGTGCTACAAAACAAACCAAAGCATTACCCACTCACTGGGTCCGTATGGGCGCTGTGTGTGATAGGATGTATGGCCCAACCGCGCGCTCGTCCGTTCTTTGAGAATCTTATGGACGAATTGGTCCGAGATTCTGGTCGATGTGGGAATAGCGGAACAGTCTTGAAGATCATGGAGAAGTGTTGGGAAATGCAAAAGACCGCTAGAGTAGATTGCAGAGCAACAATGGCTGAAATGCGAATACAAGCAATTTTAATCTAGAGGGCGTGTTTTATTGGGGTTACATATGTATAGATCCCCTTTTAAAATGAAGGAGAGAATCTCCTGCCAAAATATATTCTTGACTTGTACCTAATCTTTGATTGACTTCAGTAATTTGCAAGCCGCAAAACTCTTCGTATATGATTTTCTGTCCCTTGTCATAAAGTATGTTTTGGCCCTATTGAGACAGACTGAGGAAACTCGAGCCGTGAAGAGGTAAGTCGACCCGATCATACTCCGTGGCCAATCAGCGATCAGTACCTCTATGTAGCAACATCGAAGCAGGGGAGGCTTGAACTATATGGCTACACTGCTTCGTAAATCGTTATATGTCGAGCGATAGTTGAGGATAAAAGGGAGTCGATGTTCGTCGAATTTGTGGACAACTCTCCCCAATTTCATCTTGCGCAGTAACACCCCATAAGCCCAACAATGCCAACGCTCGACGTTCCAATGCCACTAACAAGCCTAAATCTTGTCGATGCTGGCATCCAAGATCTTCTCTACGCCCTTAAGTCTAGGGCCGTAACAAGTGTCGAGCTTGTTTCGCTTTATCTTCATCGAATTGCCCACTACGACACCCGAGGACCATCATTAAACTCGATCTGCGTTTTCAACCCCAATGCTTTCGAGGAAGCCCAAAAATCAGACGACTACAGAGCAAGTGGTCGTACACCAAGGCCATTGGAAGGTATTCCCTTCACAGTCAAGGATAGCTTCATGGTTAAGGGCATGACCGTTGCAGCTGGATCCCCCGCATTTGCCAATCTCGTTGCCTCCGATGATGCAGCCATCGTCACGCTTCTTCGAGACTCTGGAGCTATAATACTGGGAAAAACAAACATGCCAGCCATGGCCGATGGTGGAGGCCAACGCGGGCTCTATGGTCGGGCAGAGAGTCCTTACAATCTTGAATACTCTACAACGGCATATGCCTCTGGTTCTTCCAACGGCTGCGGCACATCTACAGCAGCAAGTTTTGCCGCTTTCGGTTTCGCCGGAGAGACAGTCTCCTCGGGCCGCGCTCCTGCCTCCAACAATGCGCTGGTTGGATATTCCCCGTCTCGGGGTATTCTTGGAAATAGAGGCCAATGGCCGCTTTATCCAACATGCGATGTGATCGTTCCACATACGCGCTCAGTTCAGGACTTATTCTACGTCCTCAATGTGATTGTTGCAGATGATCCTGATGCGCATCGAGGATTTGATTTCTGGCAGAATCAATCCTTCACGAGCATTCCGAGGGCATCAGAAATCCGTCCAGATGATTTTCAAAGTCTAAAGGATCCATATGCGCTCCTTGGAAAACGCATTGCCGTTCCTAGATGTTTTCTCGGAGCGCAGGATGCGAAGCCATTCCACGTCTGTACTGGGCCGGTTCACAGTCTATTCGAGAAAGCTCGCACTATCTTGCAATCGATGGGGGCAACAACCATCGAGACAGACTTTCCTTTACTCGAGAAGTATGTGAAACAAGACTTCCCCGGTCAAAGTTGCAATGTACCCCAAATGCCGAATCAATGGACAGACATTGAGCGGTGTCAAATGATTGCCACAGCATGGGACGATTTCCTCCGCCAAAACGGTGATTCGAAGTATCCGAATCTTCTGACAGTCGATACACAGAAAATCCATCCACGAATCGCACCTATGGATGATCCTTCGAAATATACCGAGCAGCAGAATCAAGTTCGCTATCCTGAAATGATCGAATCCGTTAGAGACAGAAAACACACCATTTTCGATCTTCCCGGCATCGAGGCTGCAGTGCATGCGCTGGAAGATATGCGAAAAGTTGAGCTTGAAGACTGGATGGACTCTCATGGATATGATATGCTTGCTTTCCCAACCAACGGCGATGTGCCATATTCGAACTCAGACGAAGTCCTCGAATCCATGCTGCATGCTCTGCAGAATGGTGTTAAGTATTCCAATGGAGGCCGTGTCCTCAAACACTGTGGTGTGCCCTGTATCACTCTTCCTATGGGTACCATGAGTGAGAATAAAATGCCAGTCGGCATCACCTTCGCCTCCAAAGCTCATACAGACAATGACCTCCTTCGATATGCATACGCTTATGAAGCAGCTTCTCGAGCCCGGACCACTCCCAGCTTGACGCCTCCAATCTCGTCTGATCACATATCGTTAATACACTCCTATCATGGAAAATCTTTGACAGCGAAGCCGGAACTGAATATCACATCGGCTACTTTGGCGAATGAGAATGTCTCCGAGCCGCATTTGTGTCGTGTTTCATTAGCTGGAACCTTAAGATCTAGCGATCCCAGTGTCAACATCATCTCACTCCAAGTGTTTGTTGACGGGAAGCAACGTGCGTCTCTGCCCATTGGGTATGAGCAGTGGACTTGGGAAGATATCGTTTCACGGCCCAACACTAGTGACCGCTACCCGACCCTTGCCAGAGTTCCCAAGGACTGTTTCCTTATTGTTGTCATCGCCAGGTTGGCAAATGGCAGGTCGGCAGCTTCCATGCTACTTGTAGATTAGGAAGAGTTGGTGTCCTATGTACTGGCGAAAATGACTATTGAAATTTTCCTCAAAAGTCTCCTCCAAAAGGTGTGAATCCTGCGCAACTCACCTCACTAACTGGTCTACCCTTGTCGTTGAAAAATGAGGATATCTAGCGCTGCAAGTCTGTTCGGATTATACACTGCCTGGAGTTGGCCTCTTCAAAAAATATTTCTCCAACCTATTGGTATGTAAAGATCCTTCTTCTTGCGATACTTCAATGTACTAAGAAGGATTGATCTACCCAGCCGCGAAGTTTTCCGAATATTATCACATTCCCTTCGATGTGTATAACGACTACATACTATTGCTTGTGATTCCCTAAGATACGCGATCAGCGTCTTAGGGATTTTTGCTTCAGGGCTATGTAAACACTTACCGTAGAGCTTCACTAAAGAAAAAGACAATGATTGGGCCACCTCTTCGCGGCCACGGCCAGTACTCTTCAATAGACTCGAACAAGTATACTCTAGTAATCTTACTGTCAACTTGAGGATCTCAAGGATAAGAATATTGACAGTCATTTCTGTGACATGAAGATATTATAAATGACAAAACGGTGCATTGCAGTAGCGTTGCGTCGGGTTGATATTTATCGGATGGTGCTTGGACACGCCCAGACGTCATTATGCCTGATACCCGCTCGTCGAGGGCGCTAGATTTCCCGACGTCAAAGCAAACGTCAAACCCACATAAACCCAGAAGATAGCACTGAAGAGGTCAAAATAGGAACATCGTCAATATCATTGCTGTATGGCTTATGGGTAACAGTATATCGAGGGTTGTATGTTATGCTAACACAATGCATGAAAACGGGAATTCACAGGGCTTAATACAGATCGAAGATTAAACAAGAAGTGGCAAGAGGCTATAAGCCTAAGGGTGGATATGCAAAACTCAAAATTAAAAGGCAGGCTGTATCATGTTTCCAGGCTAATTAGCGGAAAAAAGACTCCTCATCATGCCAATGTAAGATTCGCGAAAGTGGGGACAGGAACGAAGGCAAACTCGAGGATTATCCGGGTTCAAAAAGGAGTGAAACGAATAGCTCGGGCACTCCTGTGACAAGTCTCAAGTTTCAATATCACTGTGCCTCCTTGGGCTTGCTTGCCCTGGTACCGATCATCCATAGTCTCGCTGGGCCACTGGACCAGCCGGTGCCGCTTACTTTGGAAGTTGCTCGAGTTGCCGTTTATAATGGTCTTGGGGCCATGCAGTATTTTGTCCGGCCGCTTGAAGGAATGGGCCTATTCCAGGGATGCCAACCCAGTTTATACATCATGCATCTGGTTCTTGTTTATAGCGCTGTAATGCTATCACCAAATATTATTCCTGCTGTGCACTAGCAGGCTGCCTCTGGTTGGAGCGACGATTCTACCGGGAATTATTCAAGTACTGATCAAAGGTCGAAAGGGATTCAAGGCTGTTGTTTTACTTTGTTTTACATTTCTTCGTCATCTCGGAAAAGCAATCGGGAACCCACATGAGGGCTTCTTGAGTCTCATCGGCTAGTACCCACCACTATTTGGCTGTTGGAGAGCGCTCCCGAAGAGCCGTACGTTTTTAGAGCGAGCTACATCTGGCAAATGTAATCATCTTCATCGTCATCGCTGTATAGCTAAATTCGAAATTGCCTTCCAAGATTTACACAGCGGAATTGTTTTTGGACCTCGGGAATGGTCCACCATTCCACGCTTTTCGTCTGTGCACCCTATAGTAAAGCCTCTGGTAGACTACAGCGACCTGGTCTGCTATTATACATAATTTGTCTGTGCGTTTTAACTAATCGTAGCGCTATAACTATTCCCTGGTCTTCTTTTCCCGCCATATCTATTGATGAGAGCCTCTAGTCACCGAAAAAGTAAAGCGTGTCTTCGAACGCGTAGGACGCGTTCTCCCTAAAAAGGCGTCGCTCTATCCTTAATGTTTTTCTTAATGATCTCGACTTCCCTAACAAATGATTAATGGACAGATCATGAGTATGACTAGGTAGCATGACCTCGTCTTCGCAGAGGATATAAAATTTACTGAAGTTGTATCTGGTATTTTAGTACGGTGATTGTGTCGTTTCCCTATCCAGTCATGCAATGTAGGAGTGCCAGCAGAAGTTTTCCATCGAATTGGTGTTTCAGTGGTATGTTTCTCCTCCGCTAACATCGAATATTTGTCCAGTAATGAAAGAAGCTTCTGGGCTGGCGACAAAACAGAAACAATGCGCGATATCATCGGGGCTCCCACATCGTTTCACATCTTGCTTCTTGATCACACGCTCAAAAAGAGGATGGGATCCGTCGGGTTGAACACCCGAGTTCCACACTTGGTCTGTTCGGATCAATCCCGGCATCACTGCATTGACAGTGATCCCGGGTCCGGCCTCGGTGGAAGTGCCACGAACTAACCCAAGTATGGCTGCTTTGGATGTAGCGTATGCCGTGAGTCCTGGCTCTGGCTCTTGGACGGTTGATGAGGTTGTATGGATAATACGGCCGTATCCGGCCTTCTTCATGTAGGGAAGGACAGCGCAGGTGAGATAGAAGGAGGCATCAACGTTAACTGCAATGGTGCGACGATAGATTTCGGGGGTAACCTTGTCGAGGGGGTTGAAGGGGTAGATGCCGGCAATGTGGGCCAGGATATCGATCCTCTGAAAGCGTTGAACAATGGAGCCGATAGTCTCGGTGACCTGTTGCTCATTGGAGATATCACACACGAAATAGCTGGCTTTACCCCCGTCACTTTCTATCAAAGTCTGTCTTTCTTGAAGCTTGTTCTCTCGAATATCCAGGAGAACAACGTGGGCTCCTTGTTTGGCGAAAAGTTGAGCAGTCGCAGCACCGATTCCCTGGGCCCCACCCGTCACCACGGCAAGTTGACCGAGAAACTTGTCCGGGTATATTTTGATGAGGGGAATTTGGGCGCCTTCCTCGAATTCTGTGGCCATGATTCTCGCTGGGATGGTTCAATTGGCGTGGCGGGGTTACCAGCCAATTCTGAAAAGGGATCCGAATTTTATATAAGGACGGGCGTGCCCCGCAAAACCGTCTTGCCCCGTAGGAGATGCGTTCACCCCACCACATCCGTGATTCATGTAGTGGCAAGTTCACGTTGGCAAGGGGTCAGGAATTCCACTTTCGAGATTCTTGGAATGACTTTGGAGTGGTCTTGGAGCTATCTAGAGATGATCCTTGTGGCGGGTGCTCCCCTCAGATACGGTGCATTGTGGGACACTCAGGAGTTCTCGGGTAACAACGAGCAATCCAAAGTTCGACGGCCCCTAATGAGCTCATAATTTGTTGGATGAGTATAGCCCTGCTGTGTTCACTGTGATAGTTGCTCTGATAGGCGAATCAGGTCAAGATCCAAGTCTTGAATGAGCTCAATATCAGCTCGCTTGGAGTAGTAGGAAATGAACCGCGCTTCATGTGACTCCTGAGTTCACCAAACCCACTGGATTGAAAATATCGCTATCTTTCTGCCCCACTTCGATGGGGTGAAAAGTACGGGGGAGAACAAGTGTAAATCAGATCTCAAATCGACAGGTCTTCTGCGGGATGTAATAACGCGGGGAGATGGAATTTTCGTTAAATTGTTCTTGATTTGTCACTTGTTTCCTTCTTTTCAGGATAGTTTCAAGCTATCGAAGCCTCTACAAGACTTGACATTCCTATCAAATCACATCATTATACACCCGCAATACTACACACGATCGTCATCATGGCACAGAGTCTGTTGAATAAAGTGTGCATCATTACCGGCACAGGAGGATCTATGGGACGTGCGGCGGCACTGAAGTTCGCGATGGAGGGTGCTAAAATCGTTGGGTGCGATATTAACACCTCCGATGAACCCACCACTATGGAGGCTGTACGCAAGCAGGGCGGCAAAATGATATCCATGTCGCCCTGCGATCTGACCAAGCGTGAAGACTGCGAAAAACTAGTCAAGCTAGCCATCGATACCCATGGCAGAATCGATGTTCTGTACAACAACGCTGGCATGGCTTATTTTGCCTGGATGGATGACATGAAAGATGAGGAATGGCATAAGACTATTAGTCAAGAGCTGGATCTCGTCTATCTCCTGACATCAGCTGCCTGGCCTCATTTGAAGAAGTCACATGGATCCATCATCAATGTCGGTTCCGTCAACGGTTGGGTTGCCCTTTCTGCACTTCCAGCATTGGCGCATGTTGCAGCCAAGGGAGGTATTATCTCGATGACACGCCAGCTTGCAATGGAGGGCCGGGAGCATGGGGTCAGAGCCAACTCGATCTCCCCGGGTGTCATCGTTTCTCACCAGACAGCCCCTTACATCGGCACTAAAGACTGGTCTGAAACGATGTTGAAGAAAATCATGCTTGGCCGATTTGGAAAACCGGAGGAGGTGGCTTCTGTGGCTAGATTCCTAGCTTCGGATGAAAGCTCATATGTCACGGGTACGGACATCCGAGTCGATGGTGGCCTCACAGCCTGGTAGTGCAGAAGTCCTTTTCTAAAATATCCACAGATGGATCTTGGATTCGCACAGATGAGATTAAACATTCCATTGAAAAGAGGGATCACAATGGGAAAGCAAGGGAGGAAGAAGTAATAGGATACTGCCACAACAGTACACTGTATTAGATACCGATGACGTGTATCTTTTTCAAATGATTTTCAGAATACACTCGTTCCTACCAACAAATAAAGTTTACCATTTCATGAGAATTAACTGCGGCAAGTTAAATAATCTATAACGACGTGGTAGACAAAGCAGATGTTTAAATATGTTCCTTCCCCCTTCTCTTGTTATCTCAATAAAACGCCATGCTCGTGTTCTAGAACCTTGTTCATCATCATATTTTCAACTTATTTAGTGTTTGAGATACTGTATTTATCTTACTGGTGAATTCCTTGACTCGACTTCGATGATTTCCATCCTAGTGTGAGTTATAAATGGAGAATCGCGTCGAAAAAGAGAAGATCATTCTACAAACCAAGGTTATCACTAGTTTTCTTGCTCTAGAATAAGGTATAGAGGGATAAAGACAAACTACCTACGGACTACGTTCAATCTACTGAGATTTTGCTCATTATTAGTGAGTACCACGCAAGAAATCAAACAGAAGGAAAAAGCGCTATTCTTGCGGCGAACGAAATATTCCGACAGAGGAGCCCAAGGTAAACCGGGCGGGTAAAGTCAAATGGAATGATTAATCCGAGAAAGATTTCCAGCTCTTCTATCTCTTTTATAAAACCTTGATTTCAATAACTGAAGAACATCTATCTGTATATATGCATAAACCAAGAAGTCCGGAACGGAGATCAAATAAATGGCAGGATCAATTTCGAATCATGGTCGCCACCAGTGTGAACAACGTGATTTCCCACATTCTCGTTGTTGATCGATGCTGGTGGGATTTTGTCCGTCTCTGGGTAGCACATATCATGACCTGAGACCCGAAGCATGATACCTTCGCCAGGCGCAAAGATCATACCCATGGGCCAGAATGTGATCTCAAGCTTAGCGACTGACCCTGGGCGAACAGCTTCGCGCCGATCGTGTTGGTAGAACACTTCTTGCTGAGTAGACAACTCCTCAACCTGTGTGCATGAATGCGAGGCACGTAGGAAGCCCTGCGGTCCCAAAGCCTTAGCCGTGTTCACGTTCGGAACCTTCTCGATTTCCACCGGGCACGGATAGTTAAGGTGCTCTAAGGGTTTTCCATCTTTCGAGATCTTTCTAATCTGCACCGCGACGTCAAAATCATCGTGTTCCTTGCATGACATCCAGAGTTCTGCTTTAGCATAGCCAGCAAGCTCTGTATAATCGTGGAAATTAAAAATAAAATCCTAATCTCGGGTGGTTAGATTTGAAAATGTGGATGTCGAGATATAAACATACCGAGGTGGCCTCCATATCTTCCCCAGAATGCGAGCAAGAAGAGATATTAGAAGGCTTGTCAACTTGAAGCTTCTTGGTTGAAGCATTTAAGAATAGCGTCTTCAGGCTCTGACGAGGCACGGGCCAGTCAGATTCCGGTCGTTCGCGTACAGTCTGAATCAAGCCACCTCCAGCTTCAAACCCGAGTAGAGATAGGCGGACCTTCGGCGTGGTCAGCTCCCAGTCATTGTCAATACCTTTCAAAAATCGATCAAAGTATTTCTGAAGATCATCGACCATGTCTGGTCGATACAGATCGTACCATTCCTGATATGGATGGACACGTAGCCACTTTTTAGATGACTTTGCGGTCCGGAAGGTATGGAAAGCGCCGCGACTATGAAGCTGGGACGAATAAGACGCAACAACGTAAAGCGGAACGTTGATATTCACGGTGTTGATATATTTGCTCTCCCAATATTCATCGAAGAGCGGCCGCTTATGGATCATCGCGGGCATATTCTCAGCTGAATTTGGACCAGCAAATCCAGCGAGAAGGAATTTATGGAGGCCGGGGTTGTGTTTTCTCCCCCCCCGAACGAGAGAGTCGCGATAGATATCGTTTCGACATTCCCATGGTGCTAGGGCTTTGAGAGCCGGATGTTCTAGACGAGATCCAAAGTTGATCTGGGAGATTGCCAACCATGAGTTGCCGGCCATACCGACGGAGCCACTACACCATGGTTGGTTGGAGATCCACTCAATAGTGTCATAGATGTCTTCCGCCTCTTGCTGCCCCCAGAAAACTAGATTTCCTTCGGATCGACCGGCACCGCGAGCATCGATATTCACAATGGCGTACCCACGATGCATCCACTCAGCGGGATCAGGACCTTCGAACTTTTCGTAACCGGACGTCTGTTCCAATCTCAGACCAACTCGGAAAGGGGCCATGTTTTCATACTGCTGAACTCCGGTGCCAGTCTTGCCATATGGGCTCCAGGGTAAGATTGCCGGGACTGGGTGCTCATGATCTGAGCCAACGGGACGGAATATGTCGGCGTAGATCGTAATCCCGTCTCGCATCTGAATCGCGACATCTTGTTCAAAAATGGTTTCAGTTGGAAAGGCTCGGCGTCCGGGTGAGCGAGTGTGACCCTTCCCTAGGACAGTGGATCCAGATTGAGAAGGTTCGTAGATAAACCTGGGGTGCTCTTCTGGTGTAGGCAGAGGAAACCACTCCAAGTCCGGGAAGCGGGACTTGAGTTCATCAGTAGTTGACGGCATATTGACAGGAGAAATGAAGTTGACCAAGTTGGGATCAGGAATCATTCTGCAATCTTGCGGCCTGAACCATTTATATCACCTTTCGACTACCCTGATGGATATGGGGTGCAAGATAAAATTCACATAACACACGTCCCCGTGGGGAGTGGGATGAGGGAGGGGGCGATGGCGAATAGAGAGTAGATCGCAACAAGAGGGAACACAGACTCGGGCTCGGTCATTCTTCATGGGCCGAGCGCGTTTGCTCGATGACAAACCGCTTCGCTTCGGAGCATGGCGGGGTGAGCGTTGGATGAAAATGAGAGATGGGGAAATGGGGAAACGGGGAAATGTGAACTTGGGGAAACGGGGTGGCAAAAGTCACGTTTAGACACCCCATCACTTGCAGTTTGTGGGGTCCCAGGTTTCCCCGTATCAGTCCCAGAGGAACGGGGTACTCCGCAAATCCAGCTGATAAGTTTGGCACTCTATACTGGGAGAGGCTACTATAAAATGCCCCTCGATCTTGGTCGAATATTGTGAGCCTTCATTCAAGATTCCTCTCCTGGCTATCCACTATTGCGAGCAGACGCCTTTTCAATATGCCATCAAACGAATCATTAAGCCACTCTTCGCCGCCGACGGACACGCCCGCGAACTGGGTTTCTATTCTTGAACAGCCTTTGTTCACATCCCGAAAGCTTCGTCTGGTCTGCATTGGTGCAGGCTTTTCGGGCTTGATTCTTGCCCATAAGATCAAACATGAGCTAAAGATGGACGATATGATCGATTTTCAGATTTATGAGAAGAACCCTGAGATTGGAGGCACCTGGTTTGAGAATCGATACCCAGGAGCTGCCTGGTAAGTCATGCTCGGGTCGCCTCCCTTTCTGATACTACTCATCTTTCCTGGCTTACCATGAATTATCAGTGACGTCCCAGCACGTTAGTCACCTCTTAATTCATTTTCCCCTTCGGCTATTTGACTGATATGCAAAACTTAGATGTTTACGTATTTCCATTTGAACCCAACCCAAACTGGTCGTCCTTTTACGTTGGCAGTCCAGAGATTTGGCAATACATGAAAGACACTGCTGTCAAGTGGGGACTTGAGAAGTTTGTCTCATTCAATTCCCGGGTCAACGAGACTGTATGGGATGATGAACTTGGCAAATGGAAAGTCAAAGTCAGTTGTTCAGGAAAAACAATCTCCGACGAATGCAACATTTTGGTTAATGCCTCTGGCTTTTTGAAGTCAGTTTCTTCATTCCCGCTGGGTCATTCTTCTCAGGACGCTAAATATTTTGTTATTGTAGCAAATGGTCATGGCCTACTATCGAAGGACTTGAAGATTTCAAAGGAAAGCGTCTTCACACCGCTGCTTGGTTAGTACTTCCCTTGTGAATCATCGGCATTCAAGAATCGCTCACATTCAGTCAAGGGATGAGTCGTATGACTGGACAGGAAAGAGAGTAGCAATTATTGGCAATGGATCCTCTGCGATTCAGCTCCTTCCAGAAATTCAACGAACCGCCAAGGAAGTGGTCAACTACATTCGCAATCCAACTTGGATCGCTACAAACTATCTTCAAGAGTTCGCCGAAAATGGAAAGTTTGTTTACACAGAGGAAAAGAAGAAGGAGCTTCGAGAGAACTCTGAAAAGCTTTTTGAATTGCGCAAAAAGTTGGAGCATGGGTGAGCATTGAGTATGAATACTCCTAGAAGATCCAAGCTAACTCTGTCATTAGATTCAACCAGTTCTTTCATTCGATGATTGATGGAACCCCTGAACAAAAGGCAATGGATCAAACCTATCGCAAGAAGATGGAAGCTGCTCTTGGAGGAGATCCTGAACTTATCCAGCGCTTGGTTCCCGATTTCAACGTCGGCTGTCGGCGTCTAACTCCTGGTGACGGCTATCTCGACGCTTTGCACGAGAAGAATGTTCGTGTCGAGTTGACTCCTATCTCTCGGATCACCGAGACGGGAATTGCCACCGAAAATGGCCCAGAGGAGTATGACCTGATCGTGTGTGCCACTGGGTTCGATGTCAGCTTCCGTCCTTCGTGGAACCTTATGGGGCGAAATGGCGTGGACCTGTCAGAAGCATGGAAGGTGGAGCCCAAGGCGTATTTCGGCATGTGTGCCGCTGATATGCCCAACTATTTTATCTACGCTGGTCCGAATTCCCCCGTTGCACACGGTGTTCTCATGGGATCCATGGATGCGATGACTTTGTATATCCTGAAATGGTGCCGGAAGATCGCCACGGAAGATATCAAGTATGTTGTTAAACCTACCAACAAAACTTTTGAAATTGCTCACTAATTTCCAATAGATCTATTACTGTGAAGGCCCAAGTGATAGACGATCTAAGCGTTTGGTCTCAAGAATTCCTCAAACGAACCGTATGGGCCGGGGAGTGCCGAAGCTGGTATAAGAACAGCAATACCAAGGGAAATATCACAGCTCTCCATGCCGGTAGCGTCATCCATTACAGAGGTTTGTCAATGAGTGTTCTCTATCTAGTTCTCCAATACACTAACTCAAATATCAGAAATGCTTCAAGACCTACGGGGCGAGGACTTCGACATCAAGTATAGGTCACGCAATGAGTTCCGATTCCTCGGAAATGGATTCACACAAAGAGATGCTAATGGAGGCGATCTTGCATATTACCTTAAGCAATAGATCTACATGAAATGCAATTCAAGTGAATCATTTTTGTTAAACTGCTCGAGTCTCTGCACACAATTTTGTAAACATGCAAAGGTGGGGCTCTATCTGTTCAAACGCGGCTCGCTTCGTAAATAAACCTGAGCCCCTAACCAAAGACCGAGGAAATACAGAACTACTAACACATTATAAATGTAGGTAAAGCTGAATTTGAGCCCGCTTGTCAATTTCCTTTGATCCTCGTTCTCTTCTTTCAAGCCTCGATCAATAGGCATCAACATGTATCTACTCTACTGGCCTGTACTCACCTTTAGGAAATCGCCGCCCATTCTTTTTAATGTTTATACAAAGTTCCAGAAAGCAAGACTGAATTTGACTGAAAAGAGACATAATAAGTGTACTAGGACCGTTGTCAAGTGGTATTTGAAAGTGGAAGGGGTCAAGTCAAGCCTGGCCATGTAACTGCGTGGTGATCAATGCTTTAGGTGCATTTAAGGGTCAACCTACGTGCGCGAGCCAGAGACTTCTAATTTCTTGTTGATATTGAAGAACAACTGTATTACCAAGGTACACAGCGCTATATATGATTCACAGCTGTTTAGGAGCCTCTGACTTGGCACCTAATCCTTTAACGACTGCAGGGTGTGACTTTAAATCGGTCAACCACGCATACACATTAGAGAAATCCTTCTCTAAATCTATGGAATCAGCGGCCACCCATGTGACAACCTCAAACCAGGGGACAAAAACAATATCCGCGTAGCTGTATTTATCATTCACGAGGTATTTGCGACCCTCTAAGAATCCATTCAGAACCCCCGACACGCGGCGAATTTCGTTGATGTATCGATCAACAGCAGACTGAATCTGCTCCTTGTGGTGAATTTTGAACCACACGGCCTGACCGAAATACGGGCCCTGGCCCGATGCTTGGAAATGGACCCATTGCTTTGCTTGGTAGAACTCGGCGCTGTCAGGTTCGAAGCTGATTTTTCTCTCCGTGTCGTATTTTGCAACCAGATATTCGATGATTGCTCCGGACTCCCATAGCGTGATATCCGTGTTCGGATCGTGAATCGCAGGAACCCGCCCGTTCGGGTTGATACTCTCATAAGCAGGCTGCTTCATCTCAGGAAATTCAAGTAGCTTAATTTCATAGGGGATTTCCAGTTCTTCGAGAACCATAACCACTTTTTTGGGGTTCGGGCCAGCATGGTGACCGTAGAGAGTGATGGGCTTCATGGTCGCAATTGAAAAAAAATGCAAGTGTGAATGAGGAACAGGAGGGTGTGGATGGTTATACAAGCCACGGATTCCGACGGAATTAAATAACTGTTTTCGAGGATTCTCGCTACCTCGGAGCGTGATTAGTGAATTGCGCGAGCCTGACAAAGGCCCTCAAGCGCCTTAGGCTGGTCCAACTCGTAGGGGGCCGGTTGAATGGAGTCAATTCACGTCCGCATTTAGAGTTTCTTACTTGTCCGGACACGTATGGCCGAGATTAGTCACCTCTCGGTCTTCGGTCTTCGATGAACTATGTCATGACTCATCACCGAGCCGCCAGCCAAGCCGCCACTTTCATGGACATATATTCATGGGTCTGCTAAGATCGGCATTCTACACTGATCACTTCCGAGCTGCACATTCTCTAAACAGTTCTGATCATCATGTCGACGAATAACCTCGCCTTTACCGCTCCCCTCAACCCAGATGGGGCCACTCCAGTTCTCAACAAAGACCAAATCTGGGCCGGCCTACTTCTCAAGATTCAATCTGCCGAGTCATTCGTTCCGAAAGCTATCGAGTCGACTACTGTGATCTCAAAGTCTGCAGATCAATCTTCAGGAAATCCGGTGACTGTCCGGGAGGTGATATTCCGAGACGACAAGCGCAAAGTTCGAGAAACAGTGACAGCATATGAGCCTACGCAAGTGATTTTCGTCCAGCCCAATGGAAGTTCAATCGCGAACATAGTCAGTGAGGATGCTGACGGGAAGCTCTACATGACTTACACCTTTGAATGGAGACATCCCGGAGCTTCAAAAGCTGAGCTTGCAACTTTCATGGAGAGAGAGAAGAAAATGAGCAAGATGGCAGTCGAGGGAACCATTACTGCTTTGAGGGAAATGGTCAAGAGTGGCAAGCTTTGACCAGACCTGATCTACAAATATGATGTAACTATGTACATATAGTAAGCTAGGACTCGCATGATTCATTGTATATTATTAGTATCCAAAATGTTCTAAATTCGCCCTAAAGGATATACGCTTTGATCCATCGACTCAAATAGACACTGGGAGGACACGCATCCAGATACTATCGAGGGGACAGAATGCATAAATTT